CTAATCTTTCAGGGTGTGCCTCCTCTCTTACAACACCTGCACTTCTTCTCAACCTTTCAAGGCACCTCTCCTCTCTGAGGACACCTGCACTTTCTCTCTCATTAAATGCATACATAACTTTGAATAAAACTTCTACTCTGCTTCACTACTGCATCTCTGCTCTTCAGTTCTTTGTTGAGGTGGGGATAAGAACTGAGGAAAATAAACAACCACCCCCTAACACTTCTAAATAAGATCATGCACACATACTGAGTTAGGACTTTAAAATATCTTTGGAGGAGGATACAATTCAACACACAACAAAAGTCTCTGAATCTCTGACATTCTTTGTCTCCATCCTGCAGCCAAGACTCTCCTTCGTCTAGTGGTGTGACTTCCTGATACAAACAGCTGGCTGGACACATACCTGGACACCACAAACCTTGTTGGAAACCATCTCCTCAGGATTCCAGGTTCTGCCTAGTAGCAGTGATCCCATCTCCCACCTGGTGCCAAATGAGCTGTTGGATTCTGGGGGAAAAATATTTTACCAGCCTAGGGCAAAATACTTTTGAAACCGAAATCAGTCAAGGGGAGAAATGAAGTAGGAGAAAACCTTTTAATGCTAACAAGCAGTCATCCTCTCCTGCTCACCCGTGCCTCTCTTGACCCCACCCAGATATGCCCTCGCTCCCCCTTGTAATTACTGATTAATATGGAGATGGACCACTTCTCTCCACCCCTTGAAAACACCTATCAATATGGAGATGCACTAAGACCAAGCAAGAAATTCTGGAAATATTGCAATTTTACACAAAGCCCACCCCTCCAGAAATCTTGTCTCACAATCTATTCACTCCCCATCTTCTACAATGGCCCCTGTGTGAGAAAACTGGAGCATTGTAGCCAGACTAATAACATACAGTAACAACAGCAATAAAATCATAAATCATGATAATCCTCAAGCTGGAGAATTCAGCTAAGTTCAAAGTCCTATGCAGATTTAGTTCATAGTTCGCCCATTCCACAGGCATTCAGTAGCTGAACGGGTAGAGAGTTCAGAGCAGTCATCACATATCAGCTGTAGCTAGTGGGCAGGTCGAGCCCACAGGGACTGCAGAAGAAAATAACCTTACAGGCAGTAAGATACATGTTGTAATGATACCAACATAGGAAAATCTTGTCCATCAGGTAGGATGCATGCAAGGGTCTGGTCCATGGGTAGGACTGTGGCAGGAATGGGATCTTGTTCTGGTCTAGCGCACCAGACTTTCACCCCTCTCCCTGTGGGAGTTACAGATGGGTCAATATATAGGGCTGTGGGAGGTACATGCACTGGCCATAAAGATAAAACAAAACTTCCCCATAAGATGCTCTTACCTCCCAGATATTTTGGATACACTACCATGACCTTTGAGGGTCACTCTGCTGACACTCCAGGAATAC